AGGTTTAACCCCTGGCTCTCCATTAGCAAGACATTTTTGATGAGACTTGGCCTTTATTTGTCATCTACAAGATGGAAATAAAGAAATCGTATGCAACCTGCCCTCACTGGGCTAATATGAGGATTGAATTATTTAACTCGTATTAAATGCTTATAATATTGGCATGTGGCACAGTCAATAAGAGTTGGTATAATTAGCATCCTCTTTATGAGCTGGCTTCCCAAGACCTACTCCAGTATGAAATTCCTAAGTGGGCCTCCTTCAAGGGACCTGTGAGCATCACTCCCCAAATGTGAGCTCACTGGTAGGTCCTGCTACTTGGGGAACAAGGAGTTGCAATGGTGCTCAGAAGTGATCACAGCACTTCACTTAGAAAAACCTTTGTCTGCCCTTGAGACTAGTTTTTTTAGCTGTGGAATAGGTAGACATGGAAAAACTAAGTAAAATGACCTAGCTAAGAGGTGCTGCAGTGTTTGAGGGATTTAGAAGATGCCCTTCCTCTCTTTGAACCAGAGACTAGGCCAGCAGAGCTATGGCAGTAGGATGTGAACATAGAGAGTAATGGAGAGATTTACAAGTGTTATCTTTTATCAATAATACTACTGGAGACCAGGCTTTAGGACTGTGAGACAAACGGTCTTGCTCATCCTTTGCCAGATGAACGAGTGAAGGGCTGCAGGACACTGAGGGCTTAGGTTTGTTGCCAACCCTCCATCATGAAGATGAGAACATACTAAGCATTCTCACTCTGTCAAGAGTGAGACTGCTGCTGTGTCCTGTGTGGGAACCACAAGTTATACGCAGGCATTTGAATATAAGGTAATTAAAATTCAAAGTGCATACTTTAACATTTTTTTATTTATTCTTTTATGTGTATGAGTTTATTGCCTGAATGTTTGTAAATGCACCCATGTCATACAGTGTCCATGGAGGTCAGAAGACTGCACCAAATCCCCTGGAACATGAGTTATGGACAGTTGTTATCTATCATGTGGGTGCTGGGATTTGAACCCAGGTCTTCTGCAAGAACAGCCAGTGCTCTTAACTGTTGAGCCATCTCTCCAGCCCCAAAGTACATACTTATACCTGCCCTCTATCTCCCATTTCACTGAAGGCATTGCAGTCATGAACAAGAAGAGACTCAGTTCCCACTCCATCTCTCATCCAGTGCCCACAACCATCTACCTCAATGCCAACTACAGAGTGTTCTTCTAAAGGCACCATATCCTCCTGTGGTGTTCCTAATCTTTGCTGAGCTGAAAATAAGCCAGACAAATCATTTAAGTCACCTGAAATAAAATAGATTGTGAATGAGAATGTGGCAGACTGCCCCATATTTGAAGGGCCCAAGCCACAGGGTATGGACTTTGGGACCCCTGTTTTGGCTGCCCTGGTGTTTTGCATCTAGAAAAATCTACTTCAAGTGTGAATTCATCTGTGAATGGCTTGTCCACTGAGCAGTTCCTTAGCACAAGATCTGCTGGTCTGCACACACAGATGGTGCATTGAGGAAGGAAGACTGTTTCTGAAATTGAATGTTTAGAACTCTTAACTGGGTTGTTGTTCTTGGAAACAGACCTTAGGACCATATTTTTCCCACTCTAAAAATGCCCCACATTTAATAAAAACAACTTGATTCACAAAACTGTACACAACACAAAAATTTTTCACAAGTAACCTAACATATATATTTGACAAAAACACTACAATAATCCAAATTTTTCTGATCTGTACTGTTTTGTCACCTTAAATTTGACTTGATGGGGAAACTGGGGGTACATTAACTGGGGAGGAAGGAGAGATGGTTAGACAGGGCGAGAGAGAGGAGAGATGAACAATGCCTAGATGGTGTAAAAAAACAGAGGGAATCATTTCAAAAACCAACTGAAAAATTACATATACAGGGGCTGGAGAGATGGCTTAGCGGTTAAGAACACGGACTGTTCTTGCAGAAGACCCAGGTTTGGATCCCAGCACCCACATGGCAGCTAACAACTGTCCATAACTCCAGTGCCAGGGGATCCAACAGCCTCTTCTGTCCCCCACATGTATTGCACGACACGGGTGCATTTACCTACATGCAGGCATAACATTCATACACATGAAATAAAAATAATAAATAAAATATTAAAAAATTATATATACAATATCTCTACATGAGTCCATGAGTATAGCTGAAGGCTACATAACAAGAAACAGTGCCAGACATGAGAAACCTCCTTTTGAGTTGTTAGCCAAGGTAGTCCAAGAGACTCCCAAATTTACACAGGCTATTGCCACAGCCCTTAATTGTCTCCCAGAATTTCAAGGTAAAACCATATTGTTGAAGACAGGACATACTTTGGACACAGGACTTGGAGCAATGGAGCTGGAACTGACCTGAAAACCACCTCCCTGAAGGCTAGCTCTCATAGTTTTAGAGAATACTATGCGAGCTGCTAAGGGAGACCACCAATCAATGCTCCAGCCCCAGCTTTAAGGCCTAATAACCAAATCAATGACTAGCACAGCAAACTATATTGGTGCAGTAGTGGTATTTTTATCTTGGGGATAATCAACAGCTACCTAATTGGACTTAAAGCCCACTCAATGGGAGAGAACTCATGTGTATTACTGTAAATATAATCAAACACACATGACTGGAGAGGTCATAGATATTAGAGAAAACCCAAGACTGTCATATCCATAGAGAAATGTAATTTTTGCAATATGCTTAATATGGATCCTTATATTTACAGACAAGTATTCCAGTCACCACTCATCAAAGAAGCTTCTTTGGCAACAGACAGAGACTATTACAGAGTTCCACAACTGGTCACACACAGAGATTAAGTGTCTATGAGATGCCCAACCCTAAGTGACACATCTACAATGGAACCTCTACACCTAAGGCTCATGGAACATAGTGGAACAAGGAGTAGAAAGAACACTAATGCATCTCTCAACTCTCATCAAGGAAGCTCCCTAATGCAAGAGAGAACAATGGACACAAAGGGCCACAAAGGGCCAAAGCATAGAGAACAAAAGTCTGCAGAGTGTGGGTCCTTGGACAGGACTCCTATATTAAACTTTACCCACCCAGGGCTCAGGGACCATTGAGAAAGAGGGGGCAGAAAGATTGTAAGAGTCAAAGGAGGAGGCACATGACCATATGGAAATAGAGTCTTACAGGCTCCTGGGACCTTGCTCATATGAACTTACAGCAATGGTGGCAGCATGCACAAGACCTATGCAAATTCAAGCAGACAAAAACTCAGCACAGAGCTATGGAAATGGGAATCAAGCCAAAGAACTATTGGGCAGCTGATTATTGCTGGGTGAGGAAGAGCTGATCTGCTTCAAGGGAGTGGCTCTAGATAGGCTGACTAGACCCCAGTGGATGAACTTGCACTGAGGGACATCTGGGGACACTAATGTGACTCGATAGGCCTTAACACATATGACAGAATGCATGAAATTCAGTTGGGGGGTGAAGAGAGGGGTATAAATATGATTAAGATGTGTATGAAATACACAAAAATTCTATTAAAAATATACAAAAAAAACAACTTGAACTACAGTTAGTTGTACACATTTTAGTGACTAAACTGAATTTTACTTGAGGAATTTCAACATTAGTGGCTTACAAATATAAATTATAATCATACATATTATAACGAACATATATTTGGTGTTCAAAGACTTCACAAAAGTCACATTTTATCAATTTAGCATAGTAGCATGCATTTTTATCTTTAGCATGTTTTCTTCAAATTTATTACAGTTTAAGCATAGTTTTATCACAGGGCTGGAGAGATAGCTCAGCAGTTAAGAGTACTGGCTGCTCTTGCAGAGGACCCGGATTTGATTCCCAGCATCCACATGGTGGCTAACAACCATCTTTAACTCCAGTTTCAGAAGCCCTCTTCTGACCCCCATAGGCATTGCACAACACGGGTACATTTACATACATGCAAGCAAAACACTCAAGCATGTAAAATAAAAATAATAAATAAATAAATAAGAATAGCAAGCACAAACGGGCAGAATCCCTAACCCAACCTAATGAACTTTTGGCAACCAATGGCTTCTAGGAAAGAGAGAGATAGTCTCTGTCAAGGAAGAGATTCTTTAGTTAACCAGGTTCCAGTGGATGGACCCACACTGAAGGACATTTGGGAACACAAATTAGACTCTATAGGCATGTCTCTGTGTGTGTGTGTGTATGTTATATACAAAATAGAGTTCATTAAATTGGGTGGGGGGCAGTAAGAAAGGTAGGTACAGATAGGGAGGGAATCTAAATATCATAAATTATATTGTATGTAAATCTCAAAAATTCAATAAAAATAGTAATCACAATGTTAAGAAATAGCTTTCAAAATATGTGAAAAAAACTTTTAGGGTACTCAGGAGCATTTTAAAGGGGATTATTTATTGTCACTGTTCCAAATAGACAAAAAAAATTAGAAAATACCCCCCAACTCAATTCCCCCACCCTTACTACATTCTTCCCAACTCAAATAATTTTCCCCCAAACCACAAATATAAACTGGTACTGGTATTTCCATAAACAGTGCAACTAAGAAACTCTAAAAGTCTGGAGAAAATTTAACAGGATTCAGATTGTAACCATTCTGTCCTCTCCAATGGTTTTCCCATCCCCGGTATATGATTCTTTTAACAATGTGATACATTTGGCTGTTGCTTTAGAAATCAGGAGCATTTTTTAAACTCTTAAATAATTGACATATTGATTTAAATTTTTTGAATCTGTGTAAAAGTTTTCTTAAGGAAATAACAAGGTGAAAATCACTGTGCTATCCAAATTACTCTGTCCTTGAGAGTAATAAACCCACATGTCTTTTAAAGTAATTTATCACCGAGAATTTGTACTAGTGAAGACTGGTAATCCTTCCCTGGTTACTCTAGACTTCTGTGGATTTACTAAATTTGCAAGTGCAAATAGTTCAATATACTTTCCTTTGCGATCAGTTCTTCATGCAATATTAAATACTCACAGCAACAAACTGGTTATTTTCTAATTTAATGATGTCTCCCACTTTAACATTCATCCATTTTTCATTCTGCAGTCTGAGAAAAAAAGCAGAAATAATTTTTCAATAATGGAAAAGAATAAAAATTACAGTCAAGGGAATGCATCCAAATGCACATCATGTAACAGAAGAATCACATAAGACTTTCCTAGAACGTTATATTCAAGGTGCATTCACAACCAGGCTCCTTAGCTAAGCCAGGTACTCCAGAGGTTAAGGGATTTGCCTGTGGACATCCAATGAGCTAATGACACCCCTAGACACAGTTCAAAAACGCCAAAAAGGCTCTGTGAAAAGATGCCATGATACAAGTTCAATGCCACCTTTAGACAATAGCTGTGAACTTTCAATAAATCCAGTCATTTACATTCTTGTCAAGTGCTTAATTAATAAGTACAGAAATAACACTGCTATTTTCTCAGAAATCATTTAACTGCAGACAAAAAAGTAAATGCGTAGATGGTGGTAAGTGAGACTAGTCCAGGGCAATGGCTAAAATACAAATAGTAAAAAATTACAAGTTTGCAAAGACAAGAGTAAAGATGGGCAACAACAGAGGGCCTTAAAGAGTGCCTACTAAGCACCCTCAGCTCTGCGGCTGGAGGACGGCTTTGGTGGCATCCTAGCAGGCTAAGACCAGCTGCTCAGAATAGAGATCCAACAAGTCACACATGCTCTTTGAAGCTTATGTATATAGTGGAGTCCATGCCTGCTCTGCACCAAGTTCAAAGAAAGGGTTTATGATGAAAACAATTGTGTCTGTTGGATCTAGCCCCTGGTGACAAGTGAGTCAGGACTGCCTAAAGCCAGACAGGCCTTGCAGAGACAGACCACCTGTGGCAGAATACTGTGCCACTGAGCACCCTTGGAAACTCCCTGAGATGTAAGCCAGCTTTGCTTTCCAAGGTTTAAGTTTCTCTCTCGGAAACTCCCTCTCAGAGGGGAAGGCTAGGAGGGATAAGGTGGGTTCCCCCAGTAACAAGGCAGGCAGGTGAATTTCACTGTGAAGCTTTCCAAAACAAGCCTAATTTACTTGCTTTATAGGCTGGAAAATAGTTTTAAATATTTATACAACTTTGAAATGTGCCTCACACTATCAACCCTGCTGGATCACTTGGCTTAAGAACTCAAATTTTCTTTAATCCAGATCCAAGTACATGTTGTTCTGGAAGTTTCTCAATTGCAGCATTTTCATCTCCAGCCAGAATCCAGTCACTTTGTCAATGCCATGCTTTTGAGTACTTTATCTGCTTCAGTGACACCGGGAGAGCTAATTTAGCCTCGTGCATCTCATCTGTCTTTATCTCTACAGGTACAGATTATCCGCTGGTTTGTTTCTCCCAGGATACCCCCTTGGAGCACTAGTGACATTTCTCAGGGGAAAATCTGTTAGAAATATTTGACATGAATGAATGGAGAAAGATGTCTTGTTTAGGAAATTGCATTGCCACTGAAATGCCCTGAAATCTCTATTGAAAGTGTGTCTTTCCAGGAGAAGCCAAGATGATATTTCATTCCCAAATCCTATACCTCATCCTTGTACACTCTAAGCTCAGAAAGAACCCGTGCAGAATATTACAAATGAGATCTAGATGTTAACCAAGAGCCTGGCCTTACCCAATTGCCTCAACAATAATCTACACCAGGAACAAGCAACACTAAGAAGAGGAGAACATGGCCCTTACAAAGAAGACTATGGTGGAAACTCTCATAACTGGATAGAGGTCATGGCACCGGATTCCCCTGGAACTGGAGTTAAGGATGATTCGTAGCCGCCATGTGGGTGCTGGGAATCGAACCTGGGTCCTCTGCACGAGCAGTCAATGCTCTTAACCACTAAGCCATCTCTCCAGCCCCTTGAAATGGAATTTTAAAGATAGGGAAAATGACACTTTGTAAGTGCACTTAGAATTTTGAACAAAAAGTGCTTTGAGCTATTGGCAAACAGGCTGTGTGAGAGATCTTCATTAACCCTTTATTTAAGTATCTATGAATATAACGATCAATGTATACCCTAACATTGGAAGTGTACCTGTTACTTTTCCTGTTACTTTTTTCTACTCTTTTATGAGATATAAACAGCTGCACTTAAGTAGGAGGTCAGAAATACATTTAGTGTGTACCAAGGGTCATCACTACAGAAGTAGTCAAATTTACTAAACGAGTAGAAATGGATAAATGCCTGCAAACGGATTTAAACTGTCTGTGTTCTGAATCCAGCTGTTTTTCTTGCCCTTCCCACCACCACCACCAGGCAACCTCACAGACATTCCACCAGGGATATTTGCTTTAAAGCTCATCTTCAAAATATTTCTGGACTTCTATGATTTTAACTTGTATGGTGGTTGGGTTTCATCATCACTCTGAAACAGAGAAAGCACACACCCTGGCTATCCATGTGTGGTGCAGCTGTGCTTGGGGTTGTGTTTGTGTTTCAAGTAATCCCAGCCCTGCTGAGAGGGCACAGGGTGGCCTTGTGTCCTGAAAAGGTGGCACACAGTCCCAAAGATCTGGCATTTCCAAACTTTGCTTTTACCTTCATGAGTAGGAGCCCTCTAGGAATTGTAGCATACTAATTTTTTTAAAAAAACAAGTTTATTTAATTGCACTGAGATTCCAAGATTTCAAGATTTGGTTCAATTTTCAGTATCATCATATAATTTCTTCATGTTATGAAACAGACATAATCTAGTTAGTTCTTCCTTGAACCAGGTTTTTTGAAAATAGAGGGATAACAAGATAAGCCTTTACCTTAATAAAGCCAAAATTATAGAAAAGGATTCATAACGCATCTCAAAGGCACCATAAAATATATGGAGTTTAAGTGCCACAGAATGAAAATTAGAATTGCATTAAGGAAAGAATTCTTTGGTGCAACCACTCAAAATATATCTACTTTCATAACATTGGAAAATCTGAGTTCTAAGAAAAGGAGGTGACAGCAAGTTCACCTAGTAATTTTGAATACATTGATCTGAACACACTTTCTCCTGCTAAGATACAGCATGCTGATAACTGCTAGGCTTAGCTGAAAATCCTCTGGGAAAAACAAGTCTGGGGTTGAAATAGCACCTCACCAAGCTCCACTGCACTCTTGTTTCCACAGGTTAAACTCAAAGATTTACCTTAAGCAAGATATCTTCCCATATCTGAAGCTAAAGGACAGAAGGTAGGACCTTAAACAGGGTCCTCAGGGCTCCTGTTATCTTTTCCAAACGAATACACCTGATTTTCCATTAAGAATACCAATTCCTGGGGGGAAAAAATGAATTTCCAATAGAAGCCCTGGGGTACTAGAGTGAGAACATAATTATCCTTCCCAACTAACCAGTCAGCCCACTTATAACAAGTTTGGTTTTAGTCTCAAGCACATGTCAGTCTGTAAAATACGAAGCATTCCCTGTTCAGATTTGTATTCACCACTGTATACTTAAATAATGCCAAGTTCATAGTAGCCATTTGATAAGTATTTATTGAATGCATACCAAAAAAATTAAGGAATATAAAAATCAGTATTTCTGAAAACATTTATTGAATAATACTGTTTTACTGAATATATTATAAGAAATATAGCAATGAATGTTTATTTACTGCTTGGTTAAGTCCAGGAACTGTACTGATTCCTTCATACACAGAGTTGCAAATAAAAAATAAACGATATCTGATTAAATTTGAGTTTCGGATAAATTATTTTAAGTATAATTATGTCTCTTGTAATATTTAGAATACACTTATACTAAAACATTTTCACCATTAATCTAGAGTTTGATTTTAAAGAGTCTTACATTTAAAAGTAGTTTCACATATCAACACTATTAATATTTCTCTCATCTCCTTTAATCCTCTCAACAACCCTATAAGATACATCCTATTTCTACTCTGATTTTGTAAGACCCAGGGGTCCAGAGAACTTGAAATAGTTACTCTATTTTGCAATATCTATTTTTAGTTTATTTTTATGTGTATGAGTGTATTGCCAGCATGTGTGTAAGTGTACCCGTGTTGTACAATACCTTCAGAGGTCAGAAGAGGGTGTCAGATCCCCTGGAACTGGACTTAAGAGATATCAGTTAGCTGATGGGTGCTGGGAATAAACCTAGGTCCTCTGCAAGAGCAGCCAGTGTAAGCATTGAGACATCTCTCCAGCCCTGCAATATCTTTTTCTTTTTTTTTTTCTTTTTTGGTCTTTTTGAGACAGGGTCGCTCTGTAGCCCCAGCTGTCCCAGAACTCACTATGTAGTCCAGGCTGGCCTTGAACTCACAGAGATCCGCCTGCCTCTGCCTCCTGAGTGCTGGGATTAAAGGCCCGCGCCACCACGCCTGGCTTAATATCTATTTTTAAAATGTAAATGTAAGTGCCTAGCCGGGTGTGTCGGCGTGTGCCTGTAGTCCCAGCACTTGGGAGGCCGAGGCAGGCTGATCTCTGTGAGTTCAAGGCCAGCCTGGTCTACATAGTGAGAAAAAACCTGGGAGCCCCTCTCTAAAAAAAAAAAAAAAAAAAAAAAAAAAGTAAGTGTCTACACGCTTTGATATAGGTTATTTCAGGGCCGCCACTTCTTCCTGGTCCTTTGCATCCGGACCAACCCAGTTCCTCCCTGCAACCCCCAGGAACCCTCTAGGCCTGGTCTCCCCTCACTTCCCTTTACTTCTCTGGGCTGCACAGCCTCCGGGGTCCTGGTCCCTTCCCTGGGTAAATCCAGAGCGCCCAGCACGCCTTGACTCCCCCATCCTCTTTCACCCTCCCAGCTCCCCTGCTGAGTCTCTCCTCCTAGGCTGGGTACAGGGCCATTTCTTGTTTTGGCATCTCAGACACGGGGGCTAACCTCTCGACCCAGAGCCAGCCGCCACTGTTTCCCGATCCTTTGCATGAGGACCAAACCATTTCCTACGTGTGGGCCCCCAGGAACCCTCTAGGCCTGGTCCTGCCCTCACCTCCCTTTACTTCCCTGGGTGGCACAGCTAGCTTCCTGAGACCAGCATCTATCCTGGGCCCTTCTCCCAGGCCAGCCCAGCCCCCAAATTCTTGAGGGCAGCATT